TTCTAGGACAGACAGACAAGATTCCCGCTCCATTTATATACTTAGAGACAAGTACCTACTAAGTATGTATTAGTAGTATTTTTATTTCTATATACGGAGAATCGTTTGTATTAATAAGTAAATAAATAAATTGAAGGTACACCTAAGTACTAGAGTAAAAAGTAGCCTATGTGTTATGTATAGTTTTACATGAAAGAATAATAAATATCCATACTCATATGCTTATGAAGTTTCACGTTTGTACAATTATTAAATTCACGCTTTATTTCATAAGAGACGAAAATCATTAAATCTCTACTACCTGCTGCGGTACTTTGATAATAATGTAGTCTTAATTTCATTCTTCTGAACATTAGTTTTACAATTTTAAATTATAAGTATTTGGTCATCGCAGTGGACAATTTTTTTAGTAGATTTCAACCTTATTTGCTGACTTTAAAACAGACCTGTTTTCTTATTTAAAATAGAAATGGAATACAGTCTAAATTCAAATCCAAATGACAACTAGCTTATTCCGTGAACCCAATAACACATTTTCAATAACCAAAAAAAAAATAGGTATGGGAAATCCAAACATGCTTAATAATTACCTACCATATGACTCACTATGACTCATTGATTACTTAAAAAATATTATTATTAAGTAACATGATAGATAACCCATCATTTAAAAGCTTTTTTTCCAATGTCAGTTCTTAAAACAGATCGTTTTGTTTACAAGCTAAGATTCATGTTCAAAGATTACCTCAAGTAAGTCAGTAGCCATTTTAGTTTTTAACAGATATTACGAGTATTTTATACAATGGTTACTTATAGATCTGGTAATTTATTTAAAAAATTTTTACTACATAAATTGTTTATTTATTTTTTTTGCTAGTGACCTGCCCCAGCTTCGCACGGGTGCAATGCTGATACAAAATTTCACCCCTAATGTAATAAATGTTATTATAAATATTATTATGAACCTTCGTCTTAAATCACACTATCTATTAAAACTGCATCAAAATCCGTTGTGTAGTTTCGAAGATTAAGGCATACATGGGGATATAAGGGCAAAGAAAGCGACTTCGTTTTATACTATGTAATGATATAAACAAATAAATAATGAAATACAAAGGTCATTCATCGATCGGTTTCGGGCAATATTAAGTTAAGAATATTAAGACATTTAATTCTTCTTTTTCCTCAATATAGTAGGTACAGAGTATGGAATCACTAAGAACAGCTAGAAATTTACGAGATTTCTCCCAAATAAATCATGATTCTTTAGGAATGCTAGTATAAAAAGTTGCTAATGTACAAGCTGAAGAGAGAGCTTCCATTTTTAAAATAAATTCAGTAATTTTGAAGCTTAATTTGACAAACAATCAAATCAGCTTCTTCATATTATGTATTTATTAGGTAAGTAATATGTTGTAATCTAAAAGTTGATTACAGTATACCTACACGGTGACTCGATTACACGAAGATAATGACATTAATTGATCGATCATCATTAATCGAATAGCCAACAACTAACAGTATATTGGATTAGTTAAAGATTAACATTATTGACCGACATTGGAGAGTTTTACATTCATCTTTGGTTTTGTTTTTCTTAAGGAATTCTTGAGCTATAATTCTGAATTTAATATGCTTCATTACCAGCCTTAGATTATTGAGAGTCATCATAAGAAAAAAAAAGAGTCTCAGGAGTCCAGTCTGAGACCTCTGGTGCTGCCGCTTAAGGCAACACGGCTATCCAGGTGTAAAACACACTCCTAGTACGGGTCATAGAAAAATTAATTCTTACAATAAAAAAATAATTTTAATCGTGCAGTGGATGGTTCGGTCCTTTCTTTTCCTCGAAACAAATTAAAAAAAAATAGTAAATCATTGTGTGGATTTCAAATGCATGTTATTGATTTAATTAATACCAATTCACTTTTGAACTTTTGAACTTTTCATCACGTTTCTGATGGTAATTCTGGTATGTACACAATGTACAGTTTGTTTTCATTTCCCAAAATGAATGTCGTTATTTTTCTGACGAATACGTATTTAGTTATACATTTAATTCTAATAACCTCAAAAACAATTATCGTAATTACTGAACAGTATCTCAATCATTTATGTTTAACACAAAAAGGACCATAATATATAAGCCTTTGGTCCTTTGGTACTTGTAAAAAACGATCATCGTTTAAATTTTGCTTCTGAGAAGTAGTTAAGTATCGTGGCGGTTATAATTGTTTGCTGTTTAAGCGTTAACTGACAGATTAGTGGAAATATGAACCGCTACCGATCCAAAGTTACTATGGGTTCGTGTGACCGGGTTATCCAAAGTCTGACGTCTGCGATAAAGTTTCGTAAGTTTTTTTTCTTTGTAAATGCTGATTAGACAATGAAGTAAGTAAGAAACTACTTATTGAATAGGCCTTAGGACCTAAGCAGACTGTTCATAGTATTTTCTGGTCTTTAGAGGTTTTACAAAGAAGAATTGAATAGGAGGACTAAGGATTGTCCAAGAAACTTGAATAAAGGATTAGAAGGTTTTATCGTGATGATGATGGTCCTCAGGTCCGACGACGGTTAAGTGTGTTAAACCATTATTATTATGAGTTGATGTTAAATAATTAACTACTTGATCCGCCGAATGCCGAATTACAGACGTTATAGAAAGATCTTATTGCCGAAATCAAGTAAATTTTAAATGGTTACTCAATCCAGTCCTTATTGGGTCCGAACGTTCAACCGTGGTTGTGGGTCAAGCGTAATAATGTACCGCGGCTTCGGCCTGGACCAGGAGAAGGAACGGGGTGGTTTTTTTGTCAATATGAGTGTGACATATATTGGCGAAAAACCCTCAAAATACAGTCACGCGGTTACACCCACTGCTCGGTTCTCACAGATCGTAGTGTTATGTTTTATAGCCTTCCTCAATAAATGGACTATCTAACAGCGAGACATTTTTGAAATAGGTTCAGTCGGTAGTTCCTGCGATTAGCGCGTTCAAACAAACAAACTATTTAGCTTTATAATATTATTAGTATAGATTTCCACAAAACGGCACGGGTAGACTTCGAAGACGAAGATGAAGGTGTCAAAGAAAGGTGTCAAGATGTGACCTTCCCTCTCGCCTCATTCAGGAAGAGAGCATTGATAACTTTTCCCCTCCAAAGAAGCCCCAGTCCTTATTTATTGTCTTGATGTTTTTCATGGAAACTAACTAGAGTTATATTATTTTGTCATCCACCTAATAACGAATATGTACATAAAATAAATCGACCAGTAAATTTTTGTTAGCACAACTTATTCACACTTTTTGCCTTATTTATTCATTCGTTATTCAAACCAGTAATTATGTACATAATCGCAGAACTACGTAATTGTCTATTTAAAGAAAAAGAAATTGTCATTTACTTTTCAAATACATAACCCTGTTCCTGAGTTATAAATAATTATAATGGGACAATTATTAACTTGTTATACCATCTTCATATAAGTTTTCGATAGTGTTAAGTATGTGGCTCATTCTCCATTCAAATTAAATTCCATGTTCAAATTCACGAATGTAATAAAAAAAATATCTTAATGCCACGAAAGAGGCAATATATCTGGGAAAAGCCCAATCACCAAATATCACGGGAAATTCGCGAAAAATAAATAAATAATGGCTTCTATGTGTGAGCAGTATAATACTTGTTTCCAATAATAGTTATGTTAATATACGTAAGACATTGTAAAACAGGGTCTTGTTCTAAAATTAACCTAAGTTATTTATCAAAACCTAGATCTAGCAAAACTCAGTTCCAGTTAAGTTTTAACCGAACTTCTGCATTAGTTATTGGACAACGTCTAACTTTCGTTAAACTGAATTGACTGCAGTTTAAGTCGGTATTGAGAGCAGTTCGATTTTTAAATCAATTAAACAATAAATATTTGAGATTATTTTCACGCATACCTACTTTACTGTTTTTCTATACTAATATTATAAAGAGGTAAAATTTGTAAGTTTGTATGTAGGGGGTAATCCTTGGAACCGCTGGTCGGATTGCCAAAATTCTTTTACTGATAGATAACTACAATGTTCTCGAGTGCTACAGGCTATAAAACATCACGCTATAATTAAATGGAGCCGAGCAGCGAGTGAAACCGCGCGGGAATAGCTAGTAGGTTATAAAAACATTCGCCAGGGTCGTGGGCGCAATAAGGTACCGCGGCCTCAGCGTAGAGCAGGAGAAGGAACGTTGAGGTTTTTAGTCAGTATATAAGAGTCTGACACTCCCTCTCGCCATACCCTGAGCGATAGAAGGCATTTGATGATTTTCCCTCCAAAAAAATAAAACTTTGTTAAAACATTTGATACTGGATTGTTATTTAAAACTAGATAGCTTGTCCCTCTTGGTTCCTATTGGTGATAGCGTGTGTTTTATAGCCTATAACCTTTCTCGATAAATGTACTATCCAAGTCAAAAAATATTATTCAATTTGAACTAGCCCTTCCTGATTTAGGCTCATTCAAACCAACAAACTTCGTCTTTATAATATTATCTATTATATTAATTATAGTTAATAATATGGACAATTTTCGAACTTTAATTGTGAAATAAAATAAACTTGTAAAATATTGTAACGCAGTTATAGAAAACTTAACCTACATGGAATTCCATTTATAAAAATGAGTTAACCTACATGGAATTCCATTTATAAAAAAAAATTAAATAGCGAAAGCGCTAATGACTTAAGTACATACTTTGCTTAAAAGACCCAAAGTCATGTCATAAAATGTTACAGTAGTCTTTTTACCAAAATACAATCTTACTTATACAAAAACTTTATTCGATTTCTCCCTAAGACGGAAATACTTAACGTATCTAATAAATAAAACAGTTCTACGCTTAAATAGTAATTTCGCATTAAAATTAAAATACATGAAGTAATCTAGAACAAATTCGCGTCACAAATACATAAATAACAAAATTAATATTTAAACAATTGGCCAGTATTTAAACACTTACCGCGAACTCCCGGCGAATATAAGCACAGCACAAAACTAAACACAATAAAAAAAGTCTTCATTTTTAATATAATATTTTAAAATCACACATAAAATTAAACGTGGAATATTTGCACTTTTATATAGTTGCTGTTTTTTTGTAACATAGTTTGTAACTTTATTATTTTTTTTTCAATTTTTTTTTTAATGGAGAGCGTGTTTTCCGCGCTATGCCGGCACTGTCTTGGCTCGTAATGGAAGGGCGATCGGGGTCACAGTGTATGATAAGATTTGCGCATGACACGGCTACCCAGCACAGATCACGAAGAAAACTTTTGAAAACAGTTTTTTTTTTAATTATAAACAGAATGTATTTAATTATTGCCGCTAGTTCATTGACACAAAATGTGTAGAATGAGAAGAGCTTGGGAACGCGAGTCTTTTTTATAAGTATAATATGTAAGTAATTCTATTTTACTATATATTATTTTAAATTTTGTCTGTTAACCTATAAAGATTTTGGCATTATTTGAAAATAATATTTGTGTGTGTTTGGTGTTATTTTTCATAATTGTGTGTTTAAATATATGTCGGAGCGACGATTATTAAAATTGAATTTTGAAGGAGGTTTTATCACAATTCATCGGACGAGGGTACCATAAATCGTACTCTGGCGGAACGTCAAACTGGCAGTTCTGCGTGCGCATTATGTGGGAGAGCGAGCGCTGTGACTGTCATCTGAGACGGATCGCCGACGTCCGTTATTTTTTGTAATTTATTCGGCCTGATTATAAAATCCTACGCCCTACGATGGACTGTGAAGACGATGATCAGGATGTTGATGTTTGTACCAACCCCCCGGTGCCTTCATCAGAAGTGGGATTTGATGGGAAACCATCTGATATTCCGAAAGAACGACCAGTCACTGACGCGGATAAAGAGGGGGCACGCAGTCATCTGTTTTTCATGGCGCGTTTCTACTGCCTGAAGAAAACCAGCGGTGCAACATTTAAAGAAGTCAAAACTTGCGGTCATAGAGCTTCTAAAGGCGTGTTGGAGACATCTACGGGTGAGAAAGTTCCATTTCTTTGGGATAACGGGTCATCTTCCTCATTATCTGCGTGTTCATATGATTGAACCAACGACTGTATTGATAACGCGCGAGATAGTTCCCAAATTAGAGAAGTTGATGGTTGTACCTAGTTTCATCTGGGTAACGTGTCTGTGAATATAATTGTGAGTTGGCGTAGCTGATCGTTGGAAAGGATAGTGACGTCCGGTCTATGTCACGTGGTGTCTAGTCGGAGGGACGCACTAGTCTGACCCAGGTAGGTGATCTGGTGAGCTGGTCGGAGGGATGATGTGGTCTTGCTGGAGCATGTTGGCTGGTGGTAGAGGCGCATACATCCGGTCCATGCACACCAATCGCTGAGGCCGTATCAGTGTGGTTTGGGATAAGTTGTTTTGGAAGTAGGTACAACTGAAAATGATGATAATGTTACATCGATGTTGAGTGCAGTAACCAGACGATGTTGAGATAGTGCATGTTAGTCAGGATGAACGAGCAGCGTGCTGTACACGTGGAATCTTTCCTTCTGTTCCAGAACTAACAACTAAGATCGCTCGAGGACGAGCGAATGTCAGTCTGGCCGTGTCGGAGCGACGATTATTAAAATTGAATTTTGAAGGAGGTTTTATCACAATTCATCGGACGAGGGTACCATAAATCGTACTCTGGCGGAACGTCAAACTGGCAGTTCTGCGTGCGCATTATGTGGGAGAGCGAGCGCTGTGACTGTCATCTGAGACGGATCGCCGACGTCCGTTATTTTTTGTAATTTATTCGGCCTGATTATAAAATCCTACGCCCTACGATGGACTGTGAAGACGATGATCAGGATGTTGATGTTTGTACCAACCCCCCGGTGCCTTCATACATAATCGCAGAACTACGTAATTGTCTATTTAAAGAAAAAGAAATTGTCATTTACTTTTCAAATACATAACCCTGTTCCTGAGTTATAAATAATTATAATGGGACAATTATTAACTTGTTATACCATCTTCATATAAGTTTTCGATAGTGTTAAGTATGTGGCTCATTCTCCATTCAAATTAAATTCCATGTTCAAATTCACGAATGTAATAAAAAAAATATCTTAATGCCACGAAAGAGGCAATATATCTGGGAAAAGCCCAATCACCAAATATCACGGGAAATTCGCGAAAAATAAATAAATAATGGCTTCTATGTGTGAGCAGTATAATACTTGTTTCCAATAATAGTTATGTTAATATACGTAAGACATTGTAAAACAGGGTCTTGTTCTAAAATTAACCTAAGTTATTTATCAAAACCTAGATCTAGCAAAACTCAGTTCCAGTTAAGTTTTAACCGAACTTCTGCATTAGTTATTGGACAACGTCTAACTTTCGTTAAACTGAATTGACTGCAGTTTAAGTCGGTATTGAGAGCAGTTCGATTTTTAAATCAATTAAACAATAAATATTTGAGATTATTTTCACGCATACCTACTTTACTGTTTTTCTATACTAATATTATAAAGAGGTAAAATTTGTAAGTTTGTATGTAGGGGGTAATCCTTGGAACCGCTGGTCGGATTGCCAAAATTCTTTTACTGATAGATAACTACAATGTTCTCGAGTGCTACAGGCTATAAAACATCACGCTATAATTAAATGGAGCCGAGCAGCGAGTGAAACCGCGCGGGAATAGCTAGTAGGTTATAAAAACATTCGCCAGGGTCGTGGGCGCAATAAGGTACCGCGGCCTCAGCGTAGAGCAGGAGAAGGAACGTTGAGGTTTTTAGTCAGTATATAAGAGTCTGACACTCCCTCTCGCCATACCCTGAGCGATAGAAGGCATTTGATGATTTTCCCTCCAAAAAAATAAAACTTTGTTAAAACATTTGATACTGGATTGTTATTTAAAACTAGATAGCTTGTCCCTCTTGGTTCCTATTGGTGATAGCGTGTGTTTTATAGCCTATAACCTTTCTCGATAAATGTACTATCCAAGTCAAAAAATATTATTCAATTTGAACTAGCCCTTCCTGATTTAATTAAATACATAAATAACAAAATTAATATTTAAACAATTGGCCAGTATTTAAACACTTACCGCGAACTCCCGGCGAATATAAGCACAGCACAAAACTAAACACAATAAAAAAAGTCTTCATTTTTAATTTTATTTTTTAAAATCACACATAAAATTAAACGTGGAATATTTGCACTTTTATATAGTTGCTGTTTTTTTGTAACATAGTTTGTAACTTTATTTCTTTTTCAAATTTTTTTTAATAGAGTGCGTGTTTTCCGCGCTATGCCGGCACTGTCTTGGCTCGTAATGGAAGGGCGATCGGGGTCACAGTGTATGATAAGATTTGCGCATGACACGGCTACCCAGCACAGATCACGAAGAAAACTTTTGAAAACAGTTTTTTTTTTAAATTATAAACAGAAGGTATTTAATTAATGCCGCTAGTTCATTGACACAAAATGTGTAGAATGAGAAGAGCTTGGGAGCGCGAGTCTTTTTTATAACTAGGTATAATTAAAGTAATTCTATTTTACTATATAAGTATGTATTATTTAAAATTTTGTCTGTTAACCTATAAAGATTTTGGCATTATTGGAAAATCATATTTGGTGTTATTTTTCATAATTGTGTGTTTAAATATACATATTTATAATATTGTTTTTATATAACGCGTCCATTTTGAATAACTACAAGTGAGTGTGTATGACTAACAAATTCAAATTTAAAAATAGAACCAATAAACTATTCAAAATTGTGTCTGTTCGATGAATTGAGCGGTTTGTCGTACGAACAAGAATTTAGTTAAGTACAATTTACGTCAAACGATACGAAATTAAAAAATATTAAGTACTTATTTTCGTTTCAAATTAAATATGTCTTGTAGTAAAAGCGATATTGATTTTCTTATCTTTACATTTAGATAGAAAGTTCTTTAAAAAAATATGTGATAGAACTCATGAAAAAATTTAGCATAACTAACGAAAACTGTGTTACATTTATTTCGTTTTATTTAACAAAAAAGTAGCATACATCTAATAAAAGTAAGCACCTACAGTGCGACAATTATTTGAAGGCTATTTTATTAAAGGGGGCAAAATCCTTAAAAGACTCGCCCTGTGTGGGACGTGAGACGTCAGATTCTAACTGACTAAACCCCGTTTCTTACTCCTATTCCTGGCCGAAGAAACGGTACATTATAGCAACCCCGGCTGAGCATCGGCCCTATTGGACTAAATCTGTGGAACTATGCAAATTCAAATATGCATCACCATTCCGCCTTAAGCAAGCGTTGTGATTATGTTCAAACCTTCTCAGTCTGAGAATGAGGTCTCTGCTTAGAGTGGACTGTAGATAATGTACAAAAATATAAGATAACTAAATAACGAATCCTGGCAGGATCGCCATCGTCATGCAATATGAGGGAGTTGTGGTGTCGGAAATGATAGATAGTAGAGTAGCTATGTCCAACACGTATATTAGACTGCTTGATTACCAATATGCTTATAAACTAAGTAGGAACATCTATGGTATGTTGAGCTTTAGCTCTACAGTGTGATACTTGGATTCTTCCAATCCGTTCCATTTCAAAAAATCTCCAAATCCCTAATCCCCAAAAGGTCGACAACGCACTCGAAACTCCTCCGTTGCGGGTGTCCATGAAGACGCTGATTGCTTACCAACAGGTAAGTAATCCGTTTGCTCATTTGCCGACCTATAACATTAAAAAAAATGTGTAAGACTTCATTCTAAACTATAAATCTGAATCCGCTGTGAGTAGTAGTACACTAGCGCTACACTTGCGAATTGAACTAAATTGACAGCAACATTTTGATAGGTAAAGTATGAAATGACTTTAAAAGTGGCATTATATATCGTAATTTCCCCTTCACTTCGACGCTAACTTCACACTCAAACAAGGTTCAAAATCAAACAAATTTTATTGAATCTACGTGCAGTTTACACACTACAAAATTGCATATCTTCTAATTTCTCACTGCATGTCGCAAGAATCAAACCAGAGTCTTAAGCAACGAGGAGCAATGAAAGTACCTAAACATAAATAATTAGATATTAACAAGGCAACAATGAAATTAGCGACTTACTAATGAACATCGAAGTGTGCGCAGACACGATTGTGTTTTAAAACACACAACACAACAGAACTCTGTGTACTTTTATAC